GGATTTCATCCTCGTGATAATGTTATTGTCCTAGCAGCCACTAATTCCCTACATGTACTAGATAATGCCCTATTGCGACCCGGCCGATTTGACCGCAAGATTTATGTCCCTTCTCCTAATTTAAAAAGTCGGCGTGAAATCATTAAACTTTGTGTCCGCAAGCTACCACTCAAACCTGAGGTTGACTTAGAGGAGATTGCAGCTCTAACCAAAGGCCTAAGTGGTGCTCAAATTACTAGTATGTTTAATGAAGCCTATATTTTAAGCGTCCGCAGCGGCCAAAAATACATTGACTACGAAATGATTTTTGAAGCCTATGACCGGGTATTAATGGGGCCTTCTTGGACCAGTCAAACTCTAACTCTAGCCAAAAAGAAAATAGTGGCTTATCATGAAGCCGGTCATGCGGTTATTGGCCTGAGTTTACCAGAAACAACGGTCAAAAAAATTACTATTATTCCACGCTTGTCAGCCGGTGGTTATACTTGGATTGATTTGTATGGGGAGAAAGGTGATGATTATCTTATCAACAAAAGTCAGATGCTAGCCCAAGTGATGTCTTTTTTAGGTGGACGAGCCAGTGAGGAATTAATTTTCGGTTTGGAATATATCACGATTGGTGCTTATAGCGATTTTAAGCAAGCCACCAGCATTATTCGAGACCTAATTCTGCGTTATGGAATGTCGGATTTGGGGATTGTTCCGACTCAAGAAACTTTTTTTGCGAGTGAAGAGATACCACCGGAATTGCCCGAAGTTGCCAAGCAAAAAATCGAGCGGGAGCGAGAAAAAATAATGAATCAGTGTTGAAAAAAGGTCAAAACAATATTACGCCAAAAAAAAAGAGTATTACACTTGCTGGCAGCCGTACTTTTAGCCAAAAATTCTCTCCAAAAAGACGATATTAATTACATCTTCATCAACCAAATTTCCCCTTATACACCTTTACTAAATTAACAATTATGATGAAAAAGTCGGATAAAATCAAAAAAAAAAAAACTTCCTGTAGATAATAATTCGCCCGACCAAGGCACGTATAACGTTTGACATAAGTACAATGATTT